AGGAGTTATGTACAGGGTATTTTAAGAACATATTGACTTATTACCCAGTCATTTAGTGTTATCTTTCTTACGTATTACCTTGGCCTGCTTGGAAAACACTTGTTTTTGTTCAAAGTGGAGTAAATATTTGTTAACTGATTACTCTCTTTTTGTCCAAAATTAGTCAAGCATAGTTTTAAAAAAATATTATGTGAAGGCTGGCCTGGTGGTACAGGCCCGTAATGCCAGATACGGGGGATACTGAGGCAGGAAGTTTACAAGTTCAAGGAAAGCTTGGGCTACCTTGAGTTAAAGGCCATCCTGGGCAACTTAGTGGAGACCCTCATTCAAAACAAAAGTGAAAAGATGGTTGAGGATGTAGCTCAGTGGTAGGGTGCCTGCCTAGCATGCTAGGGGTCCCAGGTTCGATTCACAGCAACACACACACACACACACACACACACACACACACACATCAAATGGGCTTGGTACATTGCATTTGTTAAGCATCTGACTTGTGTTTCATGATTCCCATAAGGATTCATCTCTTGCTGAGGGGCCGCAGGACATAAGATGCATGTGGTCTGGAGTTGCTAGCCAGCACCCGGTTGTGGGGAGCTTGGGTAGTACAGGGTGGCTGGTAGGGAAGGAGCCAGTCTGTCGCCTGCCTCCCTCGGGTCTGGCCTCGATCCTGTCAAAAACCAATAGGATCCAGGGGGGGAGGGGAGCTTCCCCGCCTGCCGTCTGGTACTCACCCAGGCGTCTGTTACTGGACGTTCTCTGCCTAGTCCTGGGATCACCAAGGCGTGCTGGGAGAGGGGGGTGTCCCTCCTCCCAGCCGCACTTCATTCCTGGAATTTGTGGGTGGTTTGTGGGTATGACTCCCATCCGTCCCTGGCCTCTCACTCAGACTTTAAGCTCTCCCTTGTTAGATTTGAGGAAGAACAGAGCCGGGGAAGCCCCCGGCTTCATGGGGTCAGCGGCTGTCCAGTGGGCAGAGTGCCTGGCCAATGCGTCACACTGATCTGGGGCAGAATGGCTGTTGGGGTAAAAATGAGTGAGAGACAGAAGTGGGAGGCGCCATCGGCCCACCCTCAGGCCTTCTCCTGACCTGGGATGCTAACCCTCTTTGAGCCCCCATTTCATTTGTGAGATGGGCTAATAAAGGCAGTGACTCTGTCAGTGTGGAGGGTAGGCATGAGATTCTGGAAATGGGACCAGCATGCTCCTGGGCCGGCCCCGCTCATCAGGCCTTGGCTGGGTCACTGCTGGTGCTAAATGCTAGTGGGGGTGGCTAACGTGGGCATGGACTGGGCCAGCCTTTGGTGTGCTGGGGCCAGCGTGCCAGCTTCTGGGGTATGAGAAGCTCAGTTTTCTGATCATGAACCACTATCAAATACCCACTATTAATGTTAAATCATATAAACTTGCAAGAAAAGAAGTTACATTTAAATGGAAGACAGTAAATTCTACAGACCTAGCACTTTCTACCTGGCTTTCTTTTCTTTTAATATTTTGTTTATTATTTTTATTTTATGTGTATGAGTGTATTGCCTGGATGTGTGTAAGTGCACCAGTGTTGTGCAATGCCTGCAGAGGTAAGAAGAGGACATTGGAACCTCTTAGCCACCATCGAACCCAGGTCCTCTACAAGAGCAGTTAGTGCTCTTAACCACTGAGCCATCTCTCCAGCCCCTCTCTACCTGGCTCTTCATTCTCATCTCTGACCTGGAGGTGGCTGACAGCCAGTTCGGGTGTTTAACAGGCAGTTTCGATCTTTCTGGGGACATGATCTTCAGTGACTTCATGGGTTGGTGGCTTGAGATTGACCAGGATGGTTGTGTTTACACAGGGAATGGATGAGCTGATAGTCAGGCCCTTTGCTATCAAGTCTCACTGAGGTTCCATCCAGCAGAAAAGGTGGATGGTGAATGGGCCCAGCGTTGAGCACCAGTGTTGGGTGTCAGTTCACAGGACAGCCTGTAACACAGGGACAGAGCCACATAGGGGACAGAGCTTCATATCAAAGCAGCTTCTGAGTTGGGTGATGGTCCTGGTGCAGGAGAGTATATTCACAGGGTTGGATGGGTGCTCTTGGTCAGAGGTCAACTTGACTCTCCAGGCCTGATGTCCTGGATGTTCTTCCTCAGAAAGCCAGCACCCGGTGGCCTAGGCCCAAGGCGATGCTGAACTTGTGTCTGTGACAAATGTGCTGGGACTTTATTCCTCCCAAGAGCAGACATATAATAGAGCTTTTAAAGTTGGATTTTGCAAAGACAAAGAAGGAACTTTGCATAAAGGGAGAATTGTCCTCTGCTGTCTTCCAAGTCCTCAGTCCCAGCCCTTTTTTTTAACTTTTTTTTGAGACAGGATCTCATGTAGCCCAGGCTGGCCTTGAACTCATTGTATAGCTGAGGGTAACCCTGAACTTCTGATCCTACTCTCTCCACCGCCCAAATGCACGTGGGTGCCGGGAATGGGATGCAGGGCTCTGTGCTGCTGGAAAAGTCCTCTATAAACCAAGCCACACCATCCGAATCCAGCCTTTTAAACTCGGTGCTGGCTCCGTAGCACCTAATTCATTACCTCCATCACTCACAGGTGTGGGGCCAAGAACACACCCCTCCCCCTTCGCCCTCCTCATATACCTACAAGTGTGGCCCAGAGATGCTAACAGCTCTTTCTAAGGCCACACAGCTGATGGGGGGTTGGGTGGTGTCGGGGATTGAACCCAGGTCCCGTTTCTCTCAGCAGAGAGGCTGCCACGGCCAAAGCCCTTGTAGGGGCTCCTCTGTCCACACAGAGGTGGGCTGCCCCTTCATGCCATAAGTATTTATCAGAGGCATTTCAGACACTGGGACTCAGTGGTGAGCAGGCTGACAGGGTGATTAATTCCCATGAGGCTTTCCAGGAAGGGGCCCTCGAGGAGCAGGCAGCAGGCACACTGGGGTCAGGGGCTGAGCTGTAGGAACAGTGACTGCAGAGACCTGGCTGGCGTCTCAGCCCTGAAATCCTCCTGGCAGGCTTCCCCAAACAGAGCAGCTGAGCCAGGAGACACTCTAGCCTTCCCTTTCCGCCCCTGCTTCAGAAACAACGAACTTTCTTTCTTTTTTTTTAAAAAATATTTTGTTATTTTTATTTTTTATGTGTATTTGTTTATCGCCTGCATGTATGTGAGTGCACCTGTGTCGTGCAATGCTGCGGAGGTCAGAAGACGGTGTCGGATTCCCCTGGAATTGGAGTTAAGGATGGTTCGTAGCTGCCATGTGGGTGCTGGGAATCGAACCTGGGTCCTCTGCAAAAGCAGTCAGTGCTCTTAACTGCTGAGCCATCTCTCCAGCCCTCAACAACGGCCTGTCTAACTCGGCCACACAACTGCTTCCAGACCCCCATATGGCCAGCGAGCCCCACTGGGACTGGTGGGATGGCTGATGTCACGGGTGTGTTGAAAGTCCCTAAGCTTTAGGAAGGCTGGGCTCCCAGTCTCAGCTACCCCCACCTCCCCGGACTGGTTCCCAGTCTCAGCTACCCCCACCTCCCCGGACTAGTTCCCAGTCTCAGCTACCCCCACCTCCTTGGACTGGCCACCCTTATCCCTGAGCCTGTTAATGTCTGTGGGACTCAGCATTGTCTGCTGTAAAATGGGGCTGCAGATCCTCTGTTTAGAGCCGTGTCACAGTGCGTGCCACATCCCTGGTGACATGGAGAACTCTACAGTCCTATTTCACCGTCTGGGCCTCACCACTGACCCTGATCCAAGAACTTGGTAGGCTCCCCGTGCCCACTCTTGGCCTGTCTTTGTACGAGCTGGGTACTTTGGCTGCCTGTGGGCTCGTGGGACTGATAACTCCAGGAAGAGAACAAAATCTTGCAGTGAGGCTTTCGGCTGTGCTGCCCTGGCGCTTGTGGGGGACAGTCCAAGCTGGTGAGTGACTGAGTGACAGAAGGGGAGGGCTCCTCTTGAAATGGTGTTGAGGGAGGTGGCTCTGTGGGGAGATCACTTGCTGTGCAAGTGTTAGGACCAGAGTTCAGCTCCCCAGAATTCTTGTCAAGGCTGTGCAGGCCTGGTGGCTTCCTGGGGTGGCTTCCTGTAATCCCAGCACATGGGAGGTGGAGACGGGATCCCTGGGGCAATCTGGCCAGCCAGAGCAGTTTAAATCATGAGCCTTGAGTTCAACCCTGCCGCGATATATACAGTGGAGAGCAACTAAGGAAGGCAGTCAGTGTCAACCTCTGGCCACCACAAGCATGTGCACACATGTGGGTATGCGCTCTTGCATGCACACACACACACACACACACACACACAGAGGAACATGCACACTTACATCCACAGTTTATGCCTTGGTCCTTTGGGCCCTGTGTCTCACACTACTCAAACACAGACTAATGCAGGTAGAGTGTTGCCATGATGCCTACACCAACAGGCAGTGATGTCAGTTCCCACTCCCAGCGTGTGTTTTGATGTCTCACCTTTGACCTGGCTCCAAGTGGCTAGAGATGTGCATATATGGTGGTGTGACTGTCCCGAGAGCGCAGGACCCTGGCGGTTCTGTGTTCCTGGCTTGCTTCCTGGAAGGGCCAGTACTACACTGGGCCTCCAACTGTCCCCTGGGCTCTGTTCCCAAGGCCACCTCCCACTGGAGCAGGGTTCGCCTCTGGCATATTAGGACGAGCCTTGCCCCTCTGCATGCCTCTGTTGGCCTCACACAGGCTTGGCTGGGACCCTGGAGCATTTCCAGAGTAGGAGGTGAGAACCTCAGCTTTCCCAGGGCACCCTGGCTCTGCCTTGCCTCCTTGGACCAACAGTCTTACCAGGACTCTGCCTTGGTTCCTGACCTCTTCCTCTGGCCTGACCCTGCAGCTGCCCCTGACACCCCAACCCACATAGCAGGTGCACACTTGGGGTTTCTGTGTAGCAGAGGCTACAGGAACCTTTGGCTGAAGGGACCGAGCCCCTGGCTCTGGCTGTGGTGGGCCTTCATACTAACTCCCCATCTCCTGCTCTCCCCTCCTTCCAGAGCCTTCGAGTGTACCACCTCTCTGCTCAGGCTGCAGGTACGAGACCATGAGCTGTCTCCTGAGTAATATCGTCCCCGTGGTGCTGGCCCTGCTGGTCTGGGGAACCCAGGGCCTTTTCCTCCCCAACTCCACACACCTGGAACGGCTGCTCCACAAGTACCAGCAGGAGGAGCCGCATCCGCGTGTGCGCAGGGCCATCCCCAGGGCTGACCGGGAGGAGATCCTCAGGTTGCACAACAAGCTGCGAGGCCAGGTGTACCCCCCTGCCTCCAACATGGAGTACATGGTAAGTGCTCCTGCCAGGTGTACCCCCCTGCCTCCAACATGGAGTACATGGTAAGTGCTCCTGCCAGGTGTACCCCCCTGCCTCCAACATGGAGTACATGGTAAGTGCTCCTGCCAGGTGTACCCCCCTGCCTCCAACATGGAGTACATGGTAAGTGCTCCTGCCAGGTGCATCCCAACCCCACCTTCAACATGGAGCACGTGGTGAGTACCCCAGCTGCAGGTGGTGGCAGGCCCAGGGGCTTATCCGCAGCATAGCACCCCTAGCTCTGATGTTGTTTGGAGACAGTCTCACGTAGCTTAGGCCAGCCTCGAACTCACTCTGTAGCCAAGGATGACTTTGAACTCCTGATCCTTCTTTTATCTCCTAAGTGCTGGAATTACAGGTCTGCACTATCATGCCTAGTTTATGCAGTGCTCAGGATGGAACACGACTTCAATTCATGCTAGGCAGACACTCGACCAAATGACTAAGCTACACCCTACCAACTGAGCCATAAGCACTCTACCCACTGACCCCAGCCCCCATCTTCCCTTTCTGTCTCTCATTCCTCCAGCAGAGCTCAGGCCAGCTTCTGCCCCCTGTATCACCTAAGTCACAGCCCTGCCTCCTCCACACCCAGCCACTAACTTTCTTTCCTGACCACCCTGTACCCGTGGGTCCCTCCTGGTTTGGAAGTCTGGAATGAGTGGCCAGAATCTTTTTTTCTCAGAAAAGCATGCCCACATTTACTGTCCAGTTCTGATGTCAAAGGCAGGGTGGCTCTCTCTCAAGATGTCAGCACACAGGGATTTTTTTTTAGGGTTGGAAAGATAGAAAATTAGGCAGACTTCCTGGGCTTGGGTTGACACTGTTGCTCTCCTCCTGGGCTCCAAGAGAGCCAGAGCACAGTGACTGTGGTAGGGCTTGCTCTAGAATCACTTGCTGGGAGCAGAGCCTAGCTCTGTGGGCAGCTGTGTGCCCCCTGAGCCTCAACCTAGGAGGTGACTGCTTTCTCCGGTGCCAGGGAGGACAGCCCTCCTGGGCTCTTACCACAAGCTGTTTGCAGTGGCCAGGTGAAGTGACCATTCGTCCCTGAGCTCCAGGGTGGAAACTTCCCCCTGACTGGTTTTCCAGAATCCCAGGGGCTGATGACGCATCCCCCTTAGGGTCATTCCTTGTCCCCTGTCTTGAAGCTGCCTCCACCTGTTCATCCAGTGGCTCTGAGTAGCTTAAGTTTTTATTTATTTTTACTTAATGTCTATGAGTGCTTTGCTTGCATGTGTATAAGTGCACCCAAATGTATATATAATAGCCAAAGAGGCCAGAAGCAGGTGTTGGATCCCCTACAATTGGAGTTACCGATGGCTGTTAGCTGCCATGTGGGTACTGGGAACCAAACACAGGTTCTCTGCAAGAGCAGCCAATGCTCTTAACCACTGAGCCATCTCTCCAGCTCCCTGAGTAGCTTTTAAACCTTCAGGGACTGGTGCTCACCCTTCCCAAGTGCTACTCAGGATGCCAAGGTACCACTCACTCAGGGGCTGTCTTCAGAGGGGCCTTGCCCCCGGGACTACTCAGACTGTCATTGCATCCTCTTGCCTGAGCTGAGCCAGCCCCTGCCCAGGGATTGTGCCCCAGCAACTCTTCCCAGGCTGGTGGGCCGTGTGTCTTCCCCCCAGAGCTGCCATGGGAGCAGCGCTGGGTTGCAAGCCATCACCCAGGACAGTTCCTGAAGCGATAGAACAGAGGCAGGAAGACCTGACCTTCTGTCCCCAGAGCCCAGTTCCTCAGGACAGCCTTGGCTTAGGAGGCAGTTGGACCCTGGCAGGAACCCAGGAAAACAGGAACATTAGCACCCCTCTGCAGATGAGAAGCTAGGTCAGAGATTTGCCTGGAAAAGACTGGCCCATGGCACACAGTGCTATTTGGCAAGGCTGCAGGGCTACCTGCCTGTGGGCTCAGAGGAGAGGCGCTTGGTAAACCTGGAGGGCAATGGGCTCCTTCCTCCCTCTGCTGCTCTGCCTTCTGTTCACCTGGACCCTAACCAACCGGTGAGCTCTGTGGAGTTATTGAGTGCCTTCTGTATGCATGCACACAGAGGATCCTTCATATAAATAAATGGAGGAAGCAAATGAGGTTCTTCCTTGTGGGGCTGCTGACCCTTCTCTATCAGCCTGCTTCTAGATGTGAGGGAGACATCATGGGCGTTGAGTAGAGGGTAGAAGGAGCAGAAGCCGACGGGGGTTCAGGAAGGGCAGCTGCTGAAGCTGAAGGCTGGTGGTCACTCAGCAGGAGTGGGAAGAGAGAATAAGTGTGCAGGGAAGGGTGTGAGGAACAGAAGGGGCAAAACCCACCGCATCTTGCATCTCGTTCCTTAAGGGGGAGACAAGTGTGATGTCTCAGAAGAGCTGTCTGGACTTGAATTTCTGCTGATCCTGCAAGCTCCAGACTTCCAGGGTCAGATTCTTCATCCAGGACAGTTTCTGAAGAGGCAAAGCAGAGGCTGGGAGACCTAACCTTCTGTCCCCAGAACCCAGTTCCTCAGCACTGCAGAGTGGAATCCTAGAAAGCCAGTTACATTGTTGCTATAATTTAGTAACTTTTAAGTAAACCTTAATTATTTTGTTTCCAGTTTAGTAACTTGTTTGAGTGGGTGGGACACGCAATTGGACACTATAGGCTCTGGAAAAGCCCCCCTAGGAAGGTAGACAGGGTGGGAGGGTTTTGCAGTTCCAGCTGGCTGTGTGACCTCAGGCAAGCTGCTTAACTTCCATGAACCTCAGGATTATTTTGTTTTGATCTGCAGCAAAGGAAAATTAAAAAATATTGCAAGGACTTTTAAAGAAGAAAGTGGCTCAAGTGTCCAGACTAGCCCTGGCCGGCAAGCGGCAGGGGTTTGGCCTACCACAGTGGCTCTGGGGTTTGGAGCAGCACCCCCCTGCTCACAGCAGGTGCTGAGGAGAGTTCATCCCAGAGTACGCAGTGCCCAGGGCTGCTCCCTGCCTCCCCTGGTGACTTGGGGCTTGGTCTCACTGAACCCTCTCTAAGTCCAACACAATCATTAGCCCATTAAGACAAGAGGAAACTGAGGCCCAGAGAGGTGAAGTCATTTACCAAAATCCACACAGCTCCAGCAGCCCACCCAACTGGCCTTGCTCACACATACAGTACCTGGCACTGTGTGGGATCCTGGTGCATTTCAAACTGCCCTGTTCCCAATGCCTGCCTCTCTTCAGGTCTGGGACACAGAGCATCAGATGGTCCCCCATGTGGAGATGACCTCTGTCAGCTTTCTGAGGCAGCCCTTGAGGTTTTCCACCCACCACTCCGTCTGGCACTGGGTACCTTGCAGCCGCCACCTCCCTGCTGCTGCCTGAGGAGGGAAACCAGCATGCCTGGACTACAGACAAGGGAGCTGGGACTGAGCAGACGAGGCGTGCTTGAGTTCCGGCCTGCGTAGGGCTGGCATTCTGAACCACGGCACCATGGAACACAGATGGTTATCTGAGCTGGCCTAACTGGAACACTCCGTAATTTTCTGTGACCAACGTGTCATGGTGCATATGGAGAGTCAGATATCCCCAGAGGGTCCCACAGACCCCAGGCCTACTGGGCCTGCTGGGTATGGTATGAGGCTCTGGGCAAATGGCCTGGCTTTGCCCAGCCTTGGTTCTCTGTACATGAGAATAGACTGCCAACCTCCAGGGCTATGGCAGGAAGGCAGGGGAAGGCTTGAGGTCCAAGGCTGCTGCGTATAGTCCAGGGTGAGCTCCTGGCCCCTGAAGATGGCCTGTGGGCGACTGGGTCGGTTACCTGTCCTCCATGTGTGTGATTGCATCCCTTGGCCCCCCTCCAGTTTAATATACACCGAGGCTGAAAGAGGACAGACTCACCTGTGGTCAAGGCGAATTCAAGGCCCAGCCAGAGCTCTGGCAGCCCAGAGGCCGGGCACCTGCCAGAGCTGAGGCATTCTGCTCCACCCTCCTGCCCTACTGACATCTGCTGCCCATCTCTTTCCTGCAGACCTGGGATGATGAGCTGGAGAGGTCTGCAACAGCGTGGGCACAGGAGTGCCTATGGGAGCACGGGCCTGCTGGCCTGCTGGTGTCCATCGGGCAGAACCTGGCAGTGCACTGGGGCAGGTAAGAGCAGCAGGCCCGTGAGCTGCAGCGTGCCCCATTCCAGAGAGAGAGAGAGAGAGAGAGAGAGAGAGAGAGGAGGAGGAAGAGCAGCAACTAGAGCTGCAGTGTGCCCCACTCCAAAGAGAGAAGGAGAGAAAGGGGGAGAGAGGGAGACAAAGGAGGGTGGGAGAGGGGAAGGAAGGAGGGAGGGAAACATGACCTGGGAGGGTAGCTCAGCGGTAGAGCATGTCCCTAATATGTGCTAGGCTGTGGGTTCTGTCTCCAGCACTAAAACAATAAATTTTAAAAACTGCCTATGAGCCAGGCATGGTGGTGCACACCTTTAGTCCCAGCACTCGGGAGGCAGAGGCAGGCAGATCTCTGTGAGTTCAAGGCCAGTCTGCTCTACATAGTGAGTTCCAGGACAGCTGGGGCTGCAGGGAGAAAACCAAAAAAAAAAAAAAAAAAAACAACAACAAAAAACACCAAATTGCCTATGCACAGAGTCGGGGGAGGTTGGGGACAGCTTGCAGTTCTGTGAGCAGGCTCAGATAGTCTCTCTGGGTGTACTGGTAGCACTTGACTGGATACCTCCCTGGAACTCTCCATCCTCCCCCCATCCTCGTCCCCTTCTTCCACCCTCTCCCCCTTCCTCCTTCCTGCCAATCCTTTTATCTCTGGCATTGTGGTGTCTCTGTGCCGTAAGGATGACTCTGTGGCCAGTCCAGCAGATACCACAGTCTTTTAATTAGGTTTGGTACTTGGTTCTGGTTCTGAGTCCCTCAGGTCACCCCACTACAGGTCCCTAGTGTAGAGTTGGAGTCAGAGGCTCAGACATTGCTCTCTGTGATGGGTTTGCCAGCCTGCTGAGGGTTGCCACCCCCCAAGCCATATTACCCTGAGTACAGTGTCTCTAGGCCGCTTCCTGCTGCCCTCCAGCTCCTTATGGCACGTGTGTGTCTCTCTGCTAGACTGACTAGGCAGGAGGCCGTTTTAGGGCCTCGTTGACCGCAGCCACTGGTGCCCAGCCTGGGCAGTAATTGTTACAAGACCTCAAACTGTCTGGCTGACCACAACCCTGTCACAAATGGTCATTTTACCCCAAGTTATTATTCTGTACTGAAACCAATGTTTACACAGTGACCAAGGGGACCCAGGAGTCCTAGCTGAGTTATTTTCTTTCCTGGTTAAAACAAAACCCAACAGTGAGTGTGTAGAGGGGCACACCTGAAGTTCTTGCACCCAGGAGACTGAGGCAGGAGGATGATTTTGGGTCCAGAGCTATGCTGGGCAGTATTCAAGACGATCTCAAAGCAGAACAGCTGACCTTGCTCAGGCAGGGGAGTGACCGTGGACCGTGGCCTGCAGGGCCCTCTGTGTCCGCCTCCCTCCACTTGGACTTCAAGTAGACGCACAATGTATCTGCCTTTCCCCTCCTCTCTTTTTCTTTTTTTCTCTTTTGGTCTTTTTGAGACAGGGTCTCCCTGTAGCCCCAGCTGTCCTGGAACTCACTATGTAGACCAGGCTGGCCTTGAACTCACAGAGATCCGCCTGCCTCTGCCTCCCGAGTGCTGGGATTAAAGGCGCGTGCCACCACGCCCGGGTCTCTCTTTTTCTTTTACCTTGGAATGGTCCTCAACCCTGACCTCCCCACCACTATCCCCCAACTCCCCACCATGCTGTCCAGGCTGACTTTGCTCCTCCTGGATAACCAAGTAGCTGTGTGCCATGGGGGAGTTGTGTCCTTTTATTGACATGGTTTTGCTGCTGTGCGGTGTATTTTCACCAGTCACCACTCGCAGTGCTTTTTAGGAAGCTATTTTACATCACTGTGACCAGAACACCTGGAGAACAGCTTAAAGAGGAGGGTGCATTTGGGCTCCAGCTCTCAGAGGTTCAGTCTATGGAGGGAGGGAGGGAGGGAGGGAGGGAGGGGACTGAGAGGGGGGCTGGGTGGTAGACATTTGCTAGTATGTGCGAGGCTCTGGGTTCTGTCCCCACCACAGACATACATGGTTGGGATGTGACTGCAGTTCTGTCCCCGCAGGTACCGCTCTCCTGGGTTCCATGTGCAGTCCTGGTATGACGAGGTGAAGGACTACACCTACCCTTACCCCCATGAGTGCAACCCCTGGTGCCCAGAGCGGTGCTCAGGGCCCATGTGCACCCACTACACACAGGTAATTCAGGGCACCGGACTCTGCTCTGTACCCGACCTGGGGACTGTGGTTGGATCTGTGTGAGCTCAGTGCAGTTATCACCCTTGGCCTTTGCTTTACTCCAGTGCTTAGAGTAGGCTGAGCTTCAAGCTGGGTCACAGTGTCAGAGACTTGAAAAAGCTCTGGAAACTTCCATGGCAGTTGTACATCGCTGAGGCATTTTCCCTGTTGCGTGCATGTGCCTAGTTTTAGTTTTTCTTCCAGGGGCTGGCTGCCCTTCCCACATGCCCTCTAGTGTCAGCACCCACACCGAAGGCCAGAGCAGGTCATTGTGGGTGTCTTGCCCTTTGAGCTGTGACACATATGTGTCTTTTCAGGTAGTCTGGGCCACCACCACCAAAGTCGGCTGTGCTGTGCACACCTGCCCGAAGATCAATGTCTGGGGAGACGTTTGGGAGAACGCTGTGTATCTCGTCTGCAATTATTCTCCGAAGTAAGTCTAAGTTGACTTGGCTGTATTGGTTGGGACACACTTGCCTGCCATGGGGGAACTGGCTAAAACTGGCTTCAAGAGTGAAACAGGCTTAATTATCCCACTAACCAGGAGTCTAGAAACATCTGGGTTAGCGAACAGCTCGAGTGCCAGGGAGGCCTGCAGCCCTTCCTGGGCTCCTGAGGTCTCCTGATGAACTGTTCTTTCCTCATGGCCCCAAGGTGGCTGCAGGCAGAAGGTGGTAAAGTCATAGCAATGGGCCGGCTCCTCAGGCGTGCCTCTGCCTGGCACGCTTCTACGCAGCACTGACCAGAACTAGACCAATCATAGATAAGAGGCACCACAGCTGTGCTAACTGATTTTATGAGTCACCGTCTGAGGCCACTTTCACCAGCTGAAATAGCTATTGTCTGGGTGGCTGGTGGGGTCCACGTCACTGTATTTTCTCTGAAAGCCTGCCATGGATGGGGCCTTAGAAAACATGGCCTCATGCTAGACTGGTTTTTATCATGGCTCTGCATCCCTTCCTAAAGGGGTACGTCAGGTCTGCCCAGCATCCCTCCTCAGAGCATCTCCTGTCACCCTGTGTCACTCACCCTGATGGCTCACTGCACAGATATGTGATGAGCACACAGCCACTCACCCCATTTGCAGCCTGCGGTTTTTGTACCACCGCTGGCCGCCATCCCGGCACGGGCGCTGTGGTGGGCCCGCTGGCATGCTTGCTGACTGGCGGGATGGAGCAGGCATGACCTCATTTGTTTGGCTTGGGCAGGAGTGACCAGAGGAGGTGGGGACACTGGGCAGCCTAGGGTTTTGAGGGAAGTAGATGCTGGAGAAACCATGGCATATAGCTGTGGGCAGCAGCTGAGTCTCCACACCCCAGCGGGCACCAGTGCCCAAGCCCAAGGTGGGGAGAGAGGAGCAACTTGATTTGACTCTTTATGTTAAAAAAAAAAAAGCTAACCAGCATGATGGCATACGCCTTTAGTTGCAGCACTCAGGAGGCACAGGCAGGTGGATCTCTGTGAGTTCGAGGCCAGCCTGGACTACACAGTGAGTTCCAGGCCAGCTGGGCTAAAGGAGACCCTGTCTCAAAAACAAACAAACAAACAAACAAACAACAAACAAACAAACGACAAACAAAATCTAGCAGCTCTGATTAGAAACAAAACTCTTGGGGCCAGCCAGATGGCTCAGTAGATAAAAGTGTTTGCCTCAACTCTGATGACCTGAGTTTAGTCCCCAGGACCCACATGGTGGAAGGAGAAAATTGATTCCCACAAGTTGTCCTCTGACCTCCACATGCACACCATGGCACACATGCACCACCCCAACACGCACCCACTAAATGTATATACTTTTAACTGCAACACAACCCCTCTTCCCAGCATACCCTCTCCCTTTTTGGGGTTCACTGCCCTGCATACAGCAAGGTACGGGCTGTGCCCACATCTCAATGGGCACCTGTCTGCCCTGCTACAGCGAACACCTCAGTGTAGGGCCCAATGGCAGACACTCACGTGTGTGTCCGGTTTGGGAGGGCGGTAACTGGGGTGAAGGCCCAGCTGCATTGATTCTGGCACAGTCTCTCCTGTGCTGTATTCCCACCGTGTGCCCGTGAGAGAGAGGAAAGGAGCTGGGTCTTTCGGAATTGTCTCATAAGGCGCTGAAACTAGGGGAGCAGGACCCCACTCTCCTGACCTCCCTAATTTTAATACTTTCCTAAAGGCCCATCTCAAAATGTGACCACGGGGGAGGTTGGGCATTGGTGTGGAAGGAGGGGGGCACAGGGGGCACATGTATCATGGACATGTGAAGATTGACACAGGAAGTCCCCAGGCACAGGCACAGTCCTGTGTGACAGTACCATACCCATGCGGCTGTTTCCTGTGACCACAAGGCTCCCCTGGTCCTGGTGCCCTCCCACATTTGGGCATCTGTCTCTAGAGGCCAGTCTTATCTGGTTCAAGCAAGTCTTGTCTGGTTGAGGTACTTCTGGTAAGTTTGCACCAGTGTGCTGGGGTCCAGCATCTTTTGCTGGGTATTGGCTCTGTGAGACCAATCCATGGTATGTTCGCTGGTCCCTTTTGACTGCTGTATGATATTCCATTCTGTCTTGGACCTTTACTTAAAGAGACAGCTTCAGCTGCTGAGCCAAGTCGGACACTGTCCTGTAACCAAGGAGGACACAATAACCAAAAGTCTTGGCATGGGAGTGGTACCACGTGAGCCCAGCTCCTGCTCTGGTGGCCTCATGTGTGAGGTGCATCCATACACTGGTCAGAGGTTTAGAAGGCAGGCATCTGCTACCCAGTCAGAGGGGCCTCCTCCCCTCCATGGGTTGAGGTGTGGTCTGTCTGTAGGAAACAGTCCCGTGTGCTGGGGGAGAACTGGGCAGGGAGAGCAGGACATACCCCTGTGGGGATCCAGTAGTCCATGCTGGGTGTCCCACATGGATGCTTATCCCAGTGTCCCCTTCTATGGATCCCCAGTCCCAATACCTGAGAGTCAGAGCTGTGGGGTTCACAGCATGGCCCAAAACATGATGGTCCCATGTGTACAGTGGGCATGTAGAGGGGAGAGTAGCTGTGCTGGCAGTGGAGAGGAGAGATCTAGGTGGCTACCTTCCTCTCTGCCTCAGTGCTGCCCTGGCTCCTTCCTATGGGAGGTTCAGGCTTCAGGGACCGTGTTCCTCTCGGGTCAGCACTAGCAGGTACCCTTGCCTCCCTGGAAAGTAATCACAGGTCACCCTGATGGGCCTGCTGAGTTTATGATACTCCCAGGAGCCCTGACCATGAGTCAGGCTAGTCAAAGGCTGTTATAGGGGCTCTGAGTGGAATATACTGCCTGAGATCTCTCAGTAGGAAGGCCTAGACGCACACATAGCCCAGGGAGCTGTTCCTACAGGACCCACAAGACAGACATGGGGCTAAGGTCTCCCTGGTTCCCAGAGCCCCCTATTTAGCTGAGCAGCTGCCTTCCCCGTACCTGGCCGTGCATTCCTCCCCCCTTTAGAGACCCATCCCAGAAGAGGTGGGTTCCTGGGTGGCCTCCCTCATGGTGTTTCTGGTCTGCCCCCAGGGGGAACTGGATTGGAGAGGCTCCCTACAAGACCGGCCAGCCCTGCTCTGAGTGCCCGCCCAGCTACGGAGGGAGCTGCAGAAACAACCTGTGCTACCGAGGTAGGTGGCCCTGGGAGAGGAGGATGGGATGGGACTCCGGGTCACTGGGTGAAGTGGGTGGGTGGGGCCAGCTGTTTCTTGGAAACACAGCTCACCTGTTGCCCACCGGCCTCAGGGAGCTTCTGGAAACACAGCTCACCTGTTGCCCACCGGCCTCAGGGAGCTTCTGGGTGTCAGACAGATATGAATCTGTCCCCTCACATTCTCATGACCCCCAAACTCCTCACAATACTCATTACCATTATTAAACTGCCAGCACCCTCCAGGGCACGGGGCAGGTGTGTCTTGCAAGTTGTTGAATAAACACCCCTGACTCCACAGAGGTCCATTTTCAAGCAACCAGCACACACACAGAGGCCTCAGACACTGGCTAACCCACCCCATGGTGCCCATGTGCTTATTTCTTTATTTTTGGTGGAAAATACCCAACTTTGCTTGGCAAGTATCGTGGTTTCCTTAGCTAACCATGCAGAAAACTTCCCCCTAATCTGGCTTATCTACATAAACCACCAAAGATGGGTGTGTGTGGCACCCCTGAGGCCGTGGCCTATAATGGGGACATAAGGATTTAAAGATAAGGATAGAAGTCCCCTTCTGTCCACTCCTCCCCCTAGGGGATAACAGGTGGGTGAGGAACCTGGCTCCCTACCTGGCCACATCCTGGCTGTGAAAGCTCAGGCAGCTCCCTCCTCAGGTACCCACCCTGTCATCTCTCTGAGCCTCAGTTTCCTTGTCTGTGAAATGTGGTTGACCATGTCTCTTAAGGCAACAAGACGAAGGAGAGGATGTCAGGCAGGGTGCTTGCTCTAAGCTGTACACAGTCACAGAATCAGGGGGGCCTGCCTAGTGCCTACCCTAAGCCATGCTCTGGGTCCCATGGCCCCTGATCTAGAGGTCAGACTGCGTTGAGTAACCTGGGGTGAAAGGAGCGTGTGCTGGGTCACATGGGGGTGGTCACTGGGATGTGCTCAGGTCTCCCCGGGTCACGCATCCCCCGTAGCTTCTGTATAATTTTCAGCATTCCGCTTTCATGTGTGTGACCAGGGGTCAGGACTATCTGCTCCTGTTCTGAAATAGCGAACCCTCAAACCCTCCCATGGCCTCGCCAAGCTATATTCAGCTCAATAAGACTGGGCTTCTGAGGTTTTCAGAGCCTAAAGTCAGTGGAACAGAGCAGCTCCAGCCCAGACAGCCTGACTGTGAGGGGCTGGTGAATGGCTGCATTGATGAGGAGGCTGGCGGTCTCCGGTGCTCCGATGTGGCTTCAGAATTCCTGCTGGCTCTCAGGGGTTGAAGTTGCTCGTTCATTAGAGAGGAGTGGGGTGTTGGGTGTGTAGTGGGGTGTGGAGCCGGCTGCCTCATGGATAAATTGCAGTCCTCCGTGAGCCCTTTCAGAAACCTCTACCTTCCCTGTTCCTTCTCAGGTCAGGGCTAGCCTGGGGTGAGGTGGTAGGTCATGAGTCATCCCCCACCCCCCTACTGAGTGCCCACGGGAGCTCCACTCATCGTTCCTTGCCCCACTCATTGCTCCTTCATTTGGATGCCTGGTGCGGAGTGGATGTCAAGGCCCAGGCTGTCCTTCCGTGAAGAGAGCATCTTGCTGTAGAAGTAGCTGAAGCCCTTGGGCCTGACGGCCTCCGTGGAATTCAGAGAGGCCTGTGAGGGTGCTTTGTTTTTCCTCCTTGAAGTTGTTTTGACCCAAATACATCCACTGACCATCCCCGATTGTTGCCTGTGAGATGACGCCTCGCTATGAAGCAGGCTGTGGGCATATGGTGTTTTCAACATACAGTGGGTTTATCGGACACGACCCTATCGTAAGTCAGGGAGTGTCTGTGTTGTTCTTTGAAGTGTGTACGGTCCTTCCTGGCTCTGGTGTATGCACCCTTGTGAAGAACGGTGGTCCCCAGGAGGGATGCACACGGGCTCATGTTGCTAAGGTGGCCCAGGCAGCTATGCTGGCCCTTGGGGCTCTCTACTTGAAGTCACACAGTTGGGTGTTCTGGTGGTCCATCCACAGGTGGAACCATCCCTGTTGTCCTTCCTGATGAAAACCAGGATTCATGAGCTGATGCTTAGTGGCGCCATTCAGTCAGGGAGCTAGTGTTTCACCATTGAGGTTGGAGAGAGGGCCATGTGATGCCCTCAGTGGGAAAAGAATGAGACCCGGTGAGTGACACCTACAGCAGGAGCTAGGGCTCTGGAGAGCTCCGTGTACTAGGTTCAGTGCTTTTTGTTTTGAGAGAGGGGCTTGCTCTACAGCCCAGGTTGGCCTCCATCTCGAAATTCTCCTGCCTCAGCCTGAGATTACAGGCTTGTCCACCTTGTTCAGCTTTTTAAAGTTAGTTTTTAGAGACAGGGTCTCATTCTGTAGCCCATTCTGTCCTGGTACTTACAACACAGCCCAGGCTGGCCTCAAACCTGAAGTAATTCTCCTGCCTCAGCATCCTGCATGGAGAGCTGATATGATAGGTATGAGTCACTCTGTTCAGCTAGGTCTAACATTAGCTGAGATGTAGCTTGAACCAGACAAGCGGCCCCGTCACTAGGGTGACAAGTGTGGCATGAGCATCAGTTTGGGTCTTTGTGACCCCTCCCCAACAAAAACCAAGGGGAGGAGGGACCCAGGGTCAGGGATGACCTTACGTCCACGGCCAGGGGTGTAGGCAGATGGTTGTGTAGAAGAGGAGGTAGGACAAGAGACCATTCGGACAGTCCAGGTGTTGGTGCTGTGCCTCAGCCGCTGCGCTAAGCTCCAAGGCAAACACAGGAATGGGCTGAGCATCCCCTCCTGGCTGGTAGAATTCCACCTGGCCAGGTCCGTCCCCAGCGCAGCCCTCCTTTTTGCAGCTGAAATGACTCTTTGTGAAGCCAAACCTTGAACAAGTTTAGTTTGCAAATTGCTTTTTCCAAAGAGCATTTTGGTTGAATCCAGCACGTTATTTTTTCTCTCTTACCACCATTAAGAAGAGACCTACTATCAGAAAACCGAGACGGACGAGATGAATGAGGTGGAAATGGGCCCCACTCCCGAGGAAAGCCATGTCTGGATCCAGCCGAGGGTGGTCAGACCCTCGAAGCCCAAGAAGACCCCGGCCATCAGCTACATGAGTGAGTTTGGTCTCTCTTGTCTTTGATGTGCCTGCCCCCCAGCCACCTTGGATAGGGGCTGGTGGAGGAGGGGAGCTGGGTGGTGGGAAGCAGGGAGAGGGTGGGGCAACCCCAAGTTGTTATTTGAAAATGATATTTCTAAGTTATCAATGCAAGCCGTACTGGAGGACCCTGGGATGGGCCTTTACCCCAGCGGTAGTAGTCAGGGCTAGCCTGGGATGAAGTGGTAGGTCATGAGTCATCCTCCATAAGAACAGAACCGACAGAATGGAGATTTTATATATAACGAATTTATTAACCAGCCTACTTTAACAACAGTGAAATTACACCAGAGAGGTTAAGAACCTGGTAGTTGCTCAGTCCACGGGGCTGGGTGGCTCAGCAGTCCCAATCTGGTGCTGAAAACTTGGAGGGTTCCTGGAGAGTCTCTGGTCCTTAGTCAATGATGAAAGCCTGAGCAGCCTGGTTCTGATATCAGCAAAGGGGTCAGGAGGAGCACCAACAAGATAGATCAACTCCACAAGCAAAGGCCGAACACACACAGGCAGCCTCCTCCTTCTGCAGGGCCCCTTTTATCTGGGCTGCTGCCACAGGGGGCTGCCCACATTCGGGGTGGCTCTTCCTATATCAGTTAAGGAAATTAAACAGCTTCTCAAGCCAGGCTGTGTACTCAGGTGATTCTAACTTATGGCAAGCTCACATTAAAACCAACCATTACAATTCACCCCCTTGGCAACTTAACACACAAATACTACACTTTAAAAAATATATCCTCCCGTCTCTTGCCCCCCAAGTCTTATGTTCATTTCATAATATAAAATATTGTAAATAGGGCTGGAGAGATAGCTCAGTGGTTAGGAACACTGACTGTTCTTGCAGAAGACCCAGGTTCGAATCCCAGCACCCACATGGCAGCTAACAGCTATCTGAATTACCAGTTCCAGGGGATCCAACAGCCTCTTCTGTCCTCCTTGGGCATTGCACAATACAGGTGCACTTACATACATGCAGGCAATACACATATATATAAAATAATAATAAAAATATTGTAAATAAATTACTTAATAAAAATTTAAATAAAAAGTTAAAAATAGGAAGTCTACTTTAAAATATTTTATTTATTATTTTTATTTTATGTGTATATGTGTATTGCCTGTGTGTAGGTAAGTGCACCTGTGTCGTGCAATGCCTGCAGAGGACAGAAGAGGCTGTCGGATCCCCTAGAACTGGAGTTACAGACAGTTGTTAGCTGCCATGTGGGTGCTGGGATTCGAACCAGGGTCTTCTGCAAGAACAGTCAATGTTCTTAACTGCTGAGCCATCTCTCCAGACCCAGAAAGTCTACTTTAAAAGGTCCACTAAGTCCTTAAAAATTCCAATGTTTTAGAAGCCTGTGACGGTGGATAAGGCATTCTGTAAGTCCCTGGATGGTAGTTTTGGCAGAGTGTTTCATGCAGGAAAGGCAAATCCATAACCAGAATAAGTGTCTATCCCTATAAGGACAAAGCACTGTCCCCTCCAAGATGGAAGTTGTCCCATGTAGTCAACCTGCCACCAGGTTGCCGCCTGGTCGCCACGGGGAACAGTGCCATATCAGGGACTCAGTGTTGGTCTCTGCTGTTGGCAGATCTGACACTCAGCAGCAGCTGTAGCCAGGTCAGCTTTCATGAGTGGGGGGCCATGCTGTCGAGCCCATGCATAACCTCATCTCTGCCACCATGGCCACTTTGTTCATGGGCCCATTGAGCAATGACAGGGATAGCTGAAGAAAGAGGCTGACAGTCCACAAAGCGGGTCATCCGGTCTACTTGATTATTGAACTCATCTTCTGCTGAAGGCACTTTTGATGAGCATTTTCATGAGACACAAGTATGTTCACATCCTTTGCTCATTTGGAGAGATCTATCCACACACTTCTTCCCCAAATGTCTTTCTCACCAATTTTCCAATCATGCTCCTTCCAAGTCCCTGACCATCAGCCAAACCATTGGCTACAGCCCATGAATCAGTATATAATCGCACTTCTGGCCATTTCTCCTTCTAAGCAAAATGCACGACCATGTGCACTGCCCGAAGTTCTGCCCACCATGAAGACTTTCCTTCACAGTGTCCTTCAGGGTTGTTCCAGAAATTGGCTGTAATGCCACAGCTGTCCACTTCTGAGCGGTGACTGCATAGTGTGCAGAACCATCCGTAAACCAAGCCCTAGTCTTCTCTTCCTCAGTCAGCCTGTCCTAGGGCACACCCCATGAAGCCATAGGTGCATGCTTGAGAACAGGAGGCATCGTAACAGGAGTAGGAACCATAGGCATCTGGGCAACACCTTCATGTGACTTGCTTGTGCCCTCCGGGCCAGCTCGGGCCCGATCACATGTATACCACTTCCATTTGATAGTGGATTGCTGCTGTGCACATCCTACGTTATGGCTTGGTGGGTCAGATAACACCCAGCTCATGTAGGGTAGCTCAGGTCACATGGTGATTTGGTGGTCGATTGTCAATCATTCAGTTTCCACTAAGGCCCAATAGCTAGTTGAGAACAGTCTCTCAAAGGAAGAATAGTTGTCTGCAGATGAAGAGGGAGCCTTGCTCCAAGATCCCTAGGTTCACCTAGGGGGCCTGCCAGATAGTGGCATCTCTATCTGCCACTGATACCTCAAGCTCTATCGTGCTGGATCGATCATGTGAGCCAAATGGCAGAGCAGCCTGGACCTGTTGAAGGGCCTTTTCCTATTCCAGGCCCCACTCAAAGCTAGCAGCTTTCAGAATGGCTTGGTATATGGTCTTGAGAACGCACCCAAGTGAGGAATGTGCTGCCTGCAGAATCCAAAGAGGCCCACTAAGCTCTGAGCTGCTTTCTTGGTGGTGGGAGGGGCCACGTGCAACAACTTATCTCTCACGTTAGAAGGAATGTCTGTGCATGCCCCACACCACTGGACTCCTAGAAATTTCACTGAGGTAAAAGGCCCTTGAACTTTGGTTGGCTTGATTCCCCACCCTCTCATGCATGTTTTATCTGTCAGTCCAGAGTGGTTGCTACCTCCTGATCACTGTGTCAAATCAGCATAACCTCACCAATACAGTGGACCAGTGTGATATTTTGTGGAAGAGGCAGGGATCAAGGGCCCTTCAAACTAAGTTATGACACGGGGATGGAGAATTAACGCACCCTGGAGGCAGAACAGTAAAGCTTACTGCTGGCCTTGCCAGATGAAAGCAAATGGCTTCTGGTGGTCCTTATGAACCGGTGTTGAGAAGAAGGCATTTGACAGATCAGTAGCTGCAGACCAGGTACCACGAGATGTGTTAATCTGCTCGAGTAAGGAAACCACGTCTACAGCAGCTGCAGTTGGAATCAGAACTTGATTGACTTTTCAAAAGTCAATAGCCATTCTCCATGACTCATCTGTCTTTTGCACAGGTGATTGGACAGTCAAAGGGGGATGTGGTGGGAACAACCACCCCTGCATCTTTCAAATCCTTGATAGTGACACCAATTTCTGTAATTTCTCCAGGGATGCGATACTGTTTTTTGTTCACTATTTTCCCTGGTAGAGGCAACTCTAGTGGTTTCCATTTGGCCTTTCCAACCATAACGGCCCTCACTGCAGGTCAGGGAACCAATGTGGGGATTCTGCCCACTTCTAAGTATGTCTGTCCCAATTGTACATTCTAGAACTGGGGAAATAACCTTAGAGTGAGTTTAGGAACCCACTAGACTTCAGCCAAAACTCCATCAATCATCTGATCTCCATAAGCCCCTACTTTAACTGAAGGGCCACAATGCTTTTCAGGCTCTCCCGGAATCAGTGTCACCTCAGAACTAGCATCCAATAGGCTCCCAAAAGTCTGAATGTTTCTTTTTCTCCAATGTACAGTTACTGTAGAAAAAAGGCTGCAGGTCCCTCTGGGGAAGGGTGGGGAAAAGCTAACAGTGTAACCCTTCTGTATAGTAACAAGGTCCTTCCTCATGGGGACCTGGCCTTCCCTTCATTCAAGGGGTCATGGGTGTGCAAACTGGCTCACGTCTAGAAATTGGTCGACTGTGACTGGAATTCCCTGTTGCTACCATCCAATGTACCCTTTCTTCGATTTGTTCTAGAGGAGTTTTTTTTTTTTATCTTATACAAATTAAACAAAGACCTATTGGGCTTCCTATGTATTTGGTCCCTGAAAACTAGCCAGTAGCAAGGGTCCATGTAAGCCACTCCATTAGAGACATTGCTTTCCCTGTGCCGCCCATTATAGTAACCATGGTTACCTTATCTTTAGCAATTCGAAGCTGCCACCTGACCCCTACTCCAGGGTCCAGTTAAACTCATTACATTTAATTCACGCAGTTGATCAGTGGCATCTCCTGCCCTAAGGTCCGGTACCAGGAGAAGAGTAGGCAACAAGACCCTTTGAACGTGCTGGTGCCCTGCTGGCCACCTTCCTCTTACCGCATCAGTGAAGCGTGTATCCTCTGGGCCTCCCATTGCGGAGGATTAGGTTTTACACAGCAAATCCACTCCAGCCTTCCAATTTCCCTGAGCCTTAAAGTCCCTTCATCAACACTAATCCAAGTGCTATCAGGCATCTCCAGCTTCTTCTCAGGAGGCCATCTTTGGACAAATAGTTCAGCCAACCAATCAAATAAACTCTTGGCACCTCTTGTAACTGTGCAAGCTTCAATGTTAAATCTAGAATCCCCGCTGAGCAGGACCGTATCGAAAAGGGTAGAGGCAATGATGGGTGATCTTTGAGCAGCATCAGCATCCCTCTTGTCTGACACCTCCTTTACAGAGAAGGCAGGATTAGTTCCCTCAGGCAAGGGGAGAGAGGACAGTACTGAGGTGGGTGGGGGTGGGGATGCATCCTCCACTAAGGGTGGGAAGGCTGCTCCCTTGGGCAGAGTAAGCCCATCAGAATCTGCAAATTTACCCTCAACCTCCTGGGGGTATTCCCTGACATCTCCATCCCAAGTCACAGACTCTTATCATTTTCCCATCAGTGCCCTCACTTTAACTGCTGGCACCCTAGGGGGCTCCAGATTAAATTTATACTTTAACTCAACCAATCCTGAGGGCTTGGGTTTGGGCAACTTGAACCCTATGACTGATAGAGAGAAGATTCTCTTCCAGGGCATGCCAAGAAACCTTTATAGAGTGTTTATATGCATCTGAAGCTGGTCAGTTTTTGTCAGTCAGCCCATTTCTTCCTCTGCTAATTTGTCCAAGGATGCTAAAAGGAACCCTCCAGCATCATTATTTTCCTTATTTTTCTACAAATGCTGAAAAGTTTTAGATACAGAGTCCCTAAATTCCTTGCCCCCCACAAGAGGTAAATCAGGAGTATCGGATGCATTTATCTCGCAGTTCTTTAAACCGTGAACTGTCCAAGCCCTTCAGGTCACCAAGGGGAGTCTTCAGTAACTGTACATACAGTTCATCGAGTTGGAGAGCCAGCTCCAGATAACACCAGGCCCAAGCCCACTAGAGAAATTCCTCTTTACAATTCTGTTTCTCCAGAGCCACTCCTAGCACTACTGTCTATATTAGGGTTCTCTGAATGAATATTCATATTCATTCATATATATATGTATATATATGGAATTTGTTGATCATCTTACTCAAAATTTTAACACCAGCTGTCTCACTCCCGAGAGGCTGAGAACTTGGTAGTTGCTTGGCCCTTGAGGCTGGGTGCTCAGTCTGCCAATCTGGAGAGGAAAACCTGAGTGGCCGTTGGTCCCCAGTCAAATATAGAAGCTTGAAACGTTGGCTCCAGAGTTGGTGAAGGAAGCATTATCACCACAACAGCATAAATCCGATCTGTGGTGAGAGGGCAGGCCAAATAAGCCAAAGACGGAACATTCTTCCTTCTGCTCTCCCTTTTGTCTGGGCTGCTGCCAGAAAGTGTAAGGCAGTCAGGACAGTTCTTGAGGTGATTTTAATTTGTAGCAAGTTGACATTAAAACAAATCACATCAGGCAGGTTTTGTTGTTATTTTAAGTCAGTGTCTCACATAGCCCAGGCTGGCCTCAAAATCACTATATAGCCAAGGATGACCTTAAGCTTCTGATCTTACCTCCACCTCCTGACAGTTGGGATGACAGGTGTGCACCACACCTAGTTTATGTGGTGCTGGGGATGGAACCCTGGGCTTCATGCATGCTAGGCAAGCACTCCCAACCAAGCTACAGCCCCAGCCCCAGCCCCAGGCTGATTTTTTAAAAAAGTTTTATGTGTATGAGTGTTTTGCTTGCATGTATGTAAGTACACCTGTGTCATGCAGTGCCAGTGGAAGCCAGAAGAGGGTGTTGGATCCCCTGGAACTGTCTGTCGTTGCAGATAGTTGTTAGCTGCTGTGTGGGTGCTGGGTTCGAACCTGGGTCCTCCACAAGAGCAGACAGTGCTCTTAACTACTGAGCAATCTCTCCAGTCCCCCTAGCAGATATTTAGATGTTAGACCTTCCTGAGTCTTTTAGAGAATCTGGGCTGAAGTCCTACCCGTGTGTCTGTGTGACTTCTCACAAGCCCCGCCCCTTTGTAAGCCCACCTTCCCAAGCCCATGGGGCTGTGGGGACTGAAATGCTTCAGGCACTTAATCTTCAGCTGATGCTCACAAGAACATTTTGGATTCACCCTTGACCCCATTATTCATGTGTGGTAGTTGGACCTCTTGCAGAAAAGGACTTCTGCAAGGTCACACCATCGCTGTATGAAGTGGTAGGTCTGGAGCTGGGCTTGATGATATACACTTGTCATCCCAGCATTCAGGAGGCTGAGGCAGGAGGATTGTGAGTTTGAGGACAGCCTGGGCTACATAGTGAGATCTTGTCTTAAAAAAACAAAAAACAAAAACAGACAAGAAAATCAAGACGTGTTTGGTGTGCAGTTCAACCACACAGAAACCCGAAGCCAGGGACTGCTCACCCTCCTGGTCTCATGGCTCCATTCTCATGTCTCCCCTAGCCCAAGTGGTCCGCTGTGACACCAAGATGAAGGATAAGTGTAAGGGTTCCACGTGCAACAGGTGAGGAATGAGCGGGGCAGGCTGGGCTGGGTGGGGCAGGGCACAGCTGGGCAGGGCTGGGCTAGACAGGGCTGGGCTGGGCTGGGCTGCCCTGGGCTGTGCTGGGTTATGTGTACTATGCTGTGCTGAGTTGAGATGGGCTAGGTTGTGGTGGACTGTGCTGGGCTGTGCCAGGCTGTTCTGGGCTGTGCTGGGCTGTGCTGGGCTGTTCTGGGTTGTGCTGGGCTGTGCTGTGCTGTGCTGGGCTGTCTCAAAACAAGCAAGCAGGGGCTGGAGGGAGGGCTCAGCAGCGAAGAGGGCTTGCTGCTCTATCATGAGGACCTGAGTTCAGATCCCAGCGCCCATGTCAGGCGCCTCACAAACACCTGGAACTCTAGTTCCAGGGGATCTGACACCCTCTCCTGGCCTCCTTGACCACGCACACATACATGTGTGCATACACACACATAAATAATAATAAATTCTTAACAGAAAAACCTGAAAGATTGTTGTAAACAGACTGTGAAGCCGTCTGGGCCTGGATAAACTGTGACTTGTTCAACAGCAATGGGACCCATCGATGAAGCTTTTCTGAATTTAGCAAGAGAGATATTGAAGCAGACACGGTAACGTCACTGGGGGATTGCCCCAGCACGCCTCCATCACTGTTTCTCTTCCTCGCCAGGTACCAGTGTCCAGCAGGCTGCCTGAACGACAAGGCGAAGGTGTTTGGATCTCTGTTTTATGAAAGTGTGAGTGTGACTGGTGTTTCTTTATGTGACTCATACGAAGCCCTGCAGGGTGCTTTAAAATGGGGCGGGGTGGGGGGTGTTTCCTGGGGACAGGCGTTTTCCTCTCCTTTGTCAAACCTGGCACATCTGAGTGGATTGATCTGCACAGACCCATGGGCTTGAAAACTGGCAAACCTGCACTTGGGACCGGGGCTGAGTGTGGGCCAGGCTCCACTGCAGACCTGGCGTCAGCACACTTGGCTGAATGGGGCGAAAGGGCTGCTTGTGGCACTCTGGGCTGCTAAAACAGTTCGAATGAGCACTTTAAGATAAGCCACCAGGGAACGAAGATGTGGCTAAGGACAGGGGGAATGGTTGGTGGGTTGTGTTTTGGCCCAGCTTATTGGCTTTTGATGGGTTGGGAACCAATGTCTCAGAAGTTTCTGGTAGATTAACTGAGTATATTGTTGGTCTGTCCTTCCACAGTCTTCCAGCATATGCCGGGCTGCTGTCCACTATGGCATCATAGATGACCGAGGTGGCCTAGTAGACATCACCAGGAATGGGCAGGTGCCCTTCTTTGTCAAGTCTCAAAGGAATGGTGTGGAGTCGCTGAGGTAGGGGATCCTGCCCTGTACTTGGGGATCCTGGCAGAGTGCCTTCTGTTTCAGAAGTGTTATAGAGAGCTGGCGCATGACTCAGTTGGTCAAGCGTTTGCCATGCAAACATGAGGACCTGAATTTGAGCCCCAGAATCCAGCTATGGGTACACATACTTGTAGTCCCGGCACTGGGAAGGCAGAAACGGGGGGATCCCTGGAGCTTGGTGACCAGTCAGCCTACCCTACTCGGTGAATTCAGGAAAGTGAGAGTGTCTCAAAAACAACAGCAGTGGCTGGAGAGATGCTCAGAGGTTAAGAGCACCGGCTGCTCTTGCTGAGGACCTGGTTCAGTTCCCAGAACCCACATGGTGGCTAACCACCATCCATAACTCTAGTTCCAGGGGATCTAACACTGTCTTCTGACCTCTGTGGACATTGCATGACATAGGTGCACTTACATACATGCAGGCATAACATACACTCATTCGCATAAAATAAGAACAATAAATAAAAAATATTAAAACAACAAAACAAACAACCAAAAAGGTGGATGTTGCCTGAGAAACAACACCCAAGGCTGATTCCTGGCCTTCACACATACATGCACACACTTGCATGTGCGCACACACACGAGCACGTGTTATTGAGCCTTTAAGAACACCAAGGACTACCAGCGTCCACATCTCAGACTCACCGCTGTGAACCAATCCAGTCAGGGGTCTCCAGGGCCCAGTCACCTGGATGAGTTCCAGTCTTACCCTCACCTGCTGGTCACCGAGAAAGTGACGTGCTGTTGGTGTGTCTAGGAATGTGTAAGATTCCTGGTGACATCTTTTCTTACTTCCAAGAAAGTGAGATTTTTCGGTTTGTTTGTTTTTTTTTAAACAAATATTTGCTTCATATTTTCCTTTTTTTTTTTTTTTTTTTGGTCTTTTTGAGACAGGGTCTCCCTGTAGCCCCAGTTGACCTGGAACTCGCTATGTAGACCAGGCTGGCCTTGAACTCACAGAGATCCACCTGCCTCTGCCTTCCCCAAGTGCTGGGATTAAAGGTGTGTGCCACCAAGCCCGGCAATTTTTAAAATATTTTGTTTTGTTTTTGTTTTTTTTTTTAAATTTTATGTGTATGAGTGTATTGCCTACATGTATGTAAGTGCACCAGTGTTGTGCAGTGCCCATGGAGGTCAGAAGAAGGTGTCGGATCCCCCCGGAACTGGAGTTATAGATGGTTGTTAGCTGCTATGTGGATATAGGGAATTGAACCCAGGTCCTCTGCAAGAGCAGCCAGTGCTCTTAACTACTGAACCATTTCTCCAGTCCCATATTTTGCATTTTTAAAAAAATGCATACAGGTTGAACAGCCTTAATTTGAAAATCTGAATCCCAGGCATACTGGGAGCCTGCCACCCAGCTCTCGGAGACTGAGGGGGAGGAATTCAAGGCCAGCCTGGGCTAGAGTAAGACCCTGTCAAAACAGAGGAAAGTGGGGGATACTAAGGGTACCGATGGGGGTTAGGGGATCTAAATTCTATCAAAATACAATGTATGAAATTTGCAAAAGTTCAATTAAAAAAAAAAAGAGGAAAGGGGAGGGGAGGGGAGGAAGGGCCTTGCTGTGTAGCCCAGGTTAGCTTTGATCTCACAATCCTCCTGCCTCAGCCTCCCCTGTAGTGGGAGTTCGTCTTTGCATTTCAAAACCATTATTCTGGCTGAGGCAGGAGGATCGCTGTGAGTTCAAGGCCAGCCTATGCTACCTAGTAAAGCCCAAGCAGTTGAGTTGTTAGAAGCAACTGGTAGACTAACTTGTGTTTTTCTTTTCAGCAAATACAAGCCTTCGAGCTCCTTCACCGTATCAAAAGTGAAAGGTAAGTTGCCCTGCAAGAGCAGAGCGTGGGCTGTCGTGGAGTTCCCCGGAAATCTCCCTTCAGTCGTCCTTTCCTGTTTATCACACAAGCCTGGGGCCTTGTTCCCAGCACCGGAAAGTCTTTGTCAGAAGGTTCCTGAAGAAGTCGATTCTCTGACTAGTTTCCAACATATCTGGACTTGAACTTGGCTGTAAATGGCTGAGCCCAGGGTTACAGCTGTCAGCTGAATGCCACAGAAAATCTGATGCCTGTGACTGGAGTGGCTAAGGCTTGGCCACTGGAGTGGCCAAGTTTCCACTTTCACTGACTGGCTATGTCAACCTGTGTCAAGGAGTCTGAGGCCTTGGTCGGGCTCAAAGCAGAGCAGGATAGATTACTAATGTCTTCCTCAGTTTGGCTCAGCAGAAAGCAGAGCATGATGGATTAGTAATGTCTGCTCTGGACAGGAGAGATGAGAAGTATGTGACATGTGCCTGCCATCTCTGGCCCAGCTTTCTGTATTACTCAGGGTCTGCAGGTGTTAGGATGGAAGCCTGTAATCTACAAGGCAGCTTGGGCTATGGTTGTTCAAACTGGCCCAGCCACTTCCTGGAGTCAGCTGGAGTGGGTGGGGATGCAGGGCCACTGTGGCCTGCCCTGGACCTTTGCCTAGAAAAGGTCCTCCTCTTCTGACTCCTCTTCTAGAAAAGCAGCTTTCTCCTTTGCCCAGAAGGCAAGAACGTCTTCTCAGCTGCTCCGATCAAAATCTGTGGAAGCACAAGATGAATGGGTGGCCATGCCTGCCATCGCAGATCCCAGGAGGCTGAGGCAGGAAGATCAAGGGTTGGGGACAGAACCCAGGGCTTGTTTGTCAAGCATGCACAAGGCCCTGGGTTCCATCCCCAGCACCACAAGGTGGCATACAACTATAATCCCAGCACTTGGGAGGTGGAGGGAGGAGGATCAGAAGTTCAAGGCCAGTCTTGACTAGAGAGTTCCCAGGTTAGCCTGAGCTACATGAGACCCTGTCTCAAAAAACTTTTTTATTTGATGTTTCTACAATTGCTTGACAGATAATATGCAGCTAGTTAAATTTTACTAACAAAGAGGCTTACTTAAAAGAAAAACCCCAGCTGGGCATGGTAGCACACACCTTTAATCCCGTCACTCAGGAGGCAGAAATGGGTGAATCTCTGTGAGATCGAGGCTAGCCTGGTCTACACAGCAAATTTGGAGCTACAGAGTGATCCTGTCTCAAAAAACAAAACAAAACAAAACAACAACAAAAAAAACTAAACCAAAACAAACAAACAAAAAAACTAAAATAACTAAGGCCTGCAGATGGCTCAGTGGTTAAGAGCACTGAGTGTTCTTGTAAAGAACCCGGGGCTCAGGGGGCTGGAGAGATGGCTCAGCAGTTAAGAACACTGGTTGTTCTTGCAGAAGACCCGGGTTTGAATCCCAGTATCCACATGGCAGCTAACAACTGTCTGTAACTCCAGTTCCAGGGGATCCGACACAGGTGCATTTACCTACACACTTCTCAGCAACACATGGAGGGTCACAACCACATATAACTCCAGTTCTAGGAGAGCCAATGCCCTCTTCTGACCTCCATGGGCCCCTGACACTGATGTGGTATACACACATACATGCAGTAAAAACATTCATACACATAAAATAAATATAAATAAAATCTAAAAAACCTCAGGGCTAGAGAGATGGCTCAGTGGTTAAGAGCACTGGCTACTTTTGTAGAGGACCTGGGTTCAGTTCCTAAAACCCACATGGTAGCTCACAACTTTCAGTAACTCCAGTTCCAGGGGGACCTGATGCCCTCTTCTAGTCTCTGTAGACACCAGGCATGCACATGTTGCACACACATACACATAGGCAATACATACATATACATAAAATAAATATAAATAAATCTTTAAAAAGAACCTCGAAAGTAAAAACGAGAAAATGTCTGTCCAGCCATGGGCCTGATGAGGGCGTCAGGGCCACAGGTGGGCGATGCTGGGTTTGCTGTTCAAACACGGAAGGCTTTGAAGTGGGAAGTCACCATGCCTGGCAGGGGTGGTTGCTAGGGACATCAGAAGAGCAGGCAAGGGCTACAGTGGGATGTGCCCTCGACTAACTAGGGATTGGGACACAGGACCTCACCTGGGTCCCCTAGGTTCCCCATGTGCAGGAATAGGAGTCAGGCTTTGAAAGTAAACAGCCCTGTTCAATGGAGAAACCATCAGCAGATACCCCTGAACTATCTGTCCAGGACCCTGTGACCCGTGGCCTGACCGTTCCCTTCTATTTCCTGTTCTCAGAGCAGGACGTGGACTGTCATGCGACAGTTGCTCAACTTTGTCCCTTCAAGAAGCCGGCCAGCCACTGTCCGAGGTAAGGCAGGTTGGGACCCAGGGCTCCTGTACTGTGGGTCTCTCCTCTCCACAGGGTCTGGCCTGCCTCTGCCAGCCTTGAGTGGAAGGTGCTATGTTGGGTTGTACCCAGAAGTCAGCCCTTTGCTCCAAGTCGGGGACCTCTAGTGCTTGCCCTGAGTGCCCCCACCTCCATGAGTGCAGGTTAAGAGGATTTTAAATTCCTGGGGCCCTGCCCAGACAGCAAAGCCTTGGTAGAGAGAGCTGTGTGCTCTGGGGCCCCCACCTCTGCTTTGGTAAACAGAGCAGTGTCTGCCTGGAGCTTGCCTTGACTCAGCATGAGAACCTGTCTCTAACATTCCCATGAAGCCTCTTGGAAGGGGCCATGGAAAACACTCCCCTCACTGAACTCAGCAGAGCCTGGGCATGCTTGTTATAAGTTGCTTCCCAGTCAGAGGACACAGCAGAGAGATGCCCTTTGGACAGAGCAAGTCTCAGCCCCACTGTAGTGATGGATGTAGTGGGTGTCCCCTGGCACCCTGGGAAGACATCCTAAGGATAAATACAGTCGCCTCGGATGCTGGGTGATATGGCATTCCATAGCAGCATACCTGGGGTCTGGAGACCGGGCCTGCAAAAGAAAAGGGACAGTGGGTGGAGCCTCAGGTCTACAGGAGAAAGCCCAGGAGGGTGTGGTTAAGGAGAGGGTATGGTCCCACTTCCATTCCTGGGGTGCTCTCCCTGCCTTCTGCCCCCACTGCTATTTCATTGATCTGTCTTGAATATTTAAAGAGACATCAGGGGGCTGGAGAGATGGCTCAGCGGTTAAGAATACTGGCTGTTCTTGCAGAAGACCCGGGTTCGAATCCCAGCACCCACATGGCAGCTAACAACTGTCTGTAACTCCAGTCCCAGGGGATCTGACAGCTTCTTCTGACCTCCATGGGCATTGATGACACGGGTGCATTTACCTACATCCAGGCAATCCATGCATACACATAAAATAACATTAAAAAAATTAAAAGAGATATCACAGCAGCTTAGTAGACGTTTCTGAGTATTTATAGAAACCCAAGCACAACGTTAGCATCTGTCCAGTGTGACTGTGTGACCTGACACTCCACAAAGGCACAGGGTTTGAGAGTTCTTATATTCTCGTTTTTAAAATCTCTGTCTCTGTCTCTCTGTCTCTGTCTCTCTGTCTCTGTCTCTCTGTCTCTGTCTGTCTATCTGTCTCTCTCTCACACACACTTTTTCCCCACCTGCCCCTTCCCCCCTCCAGAGCTGCCTCAGCCTTGGCAGCCTGGCTCTTTTTCAGCCAAGCATCCTGCCTGTCCTGAGGCCAGGTGGCTTCAAGCCGCCATCTTGGCTTTTTGATCCCTGGGCTCAGCTTGTGGTAAACTGTTCCAGAGAGACACAAAAGGCCTTTTCTTAAGCAAAGCTCATGCTTTTTTTTTCTCCTGGTGTGGAGCTTGCCAACCACCTGGGACCCACCCATTTCCAGTTTGAGGAGCCCTCTTCATCCCGGGGCCATCAGTTGGCTGAGGCCACTGGCGCCATGGTGATCCAGCTCTTTCCGCCTCAAGTTATCAGTGCCCCCTTCTTGGACTATTCTGTGAGTCACTGAGGTGAGGGCCCTCCACCCTTTCCTCCCTCACAGGGAAGTGGCCTAAAAGAGTCTATTGATAATAATCTGCGTTCTATACCCACAGCATCACCCGGCCAACACCCAGTCAAGGAAGGTCCAACCGCACAGCCCAGTGCTCCTCTCTCCTAGGCTGCATTTTCTGTCTTTTGTATGAGGTTTTAAAGATCTACATGCAGAGTCTAATAAAAGCAAAAATGTACTTAGTACCGCTAGGGTGGGCTGAATTGTCTGCTTTCCCTCCTTATGACAATCCTGGGGCTTGAGTCCAGGGCCTCCTGCATGCTAGGGGAGGTTGTACCACCAAGCTACATTCCCACCCTCTGCACTGGGCTTCTTTTTCTTTCTTTTGAGACAGTGTCTCCCTGTAGCCCCAGCTGGCCTGGAACTCACTCTGTAGACCAGGCTGGCCTTGAACTCACAGAGATCCACCTGCCTCTGCCTCCTGAGTGCTGGGATTAGAGGTGTGCGCCACCATGCCTGACTCTGTATTGTGTTTCTTTTTTCTTTTTAATTTTATTATTTTTATTTTATGTGTATGAGTGTATTGCCTGCATGTAGGTAAGTGTACCCGTACTGTGCAGTGTCTGTGGAGGTCAGAAGAGGCTGTTGGATCCCCTGGGACTGGAGTTATGGACAGTTGTTAGCTGCCATGTGGGTGCTGGGATTCAAACCCGGGTCTTCTGCAAGAGCAACCAGTGTTCTTAACCACTGAGCCATCTCTCCAGCCCCTGTATTGTGTTTCTTTTTTGAGACAGGGTCTCCCTGTAGCCCCAGCTGTCCTGGAACTCACTATGTAGACCAGGCTGGCCTCGAACTCAGAGATCCGCCGGCCTCTGGGACTACAGGCGTGCGCCACCACGCCCGGCTGTATTATGTATTGTGTTTCTTAAAGACCAACATAGAGGCTGGCAGAATGGCTCAGCAGGTTAAGGCACTTGCCCCCAAGCCTGACAATCGAAGGAGAAAACCAACTCCTGCAGGTTGTCCTCTGCCCTCCACATGCGTGCCATAGCGTGCACATGCCCACACACATACACACACAATAAATAAATAAAAAATGTGAAAAAAGAGCCAGATGCTGTGTTGCAGCGTCGTCCCCGTTCATGGAAGAACTTGATTATCAAAGTTCAAAGATTCAGGTCAAAAAGCTTTGTCTCCTGCTGTCGGCCCCTTCCCACAGTGCTCTTGTGTTCCAGGGTCCACTGTCCTGCGCACTGTGGAGAGGAGCCGTCCTACTGGGCCCCGGTGTTTGGAACCAACATCTATGCTGACGTGAGTAGGCCGGTTTCCCCAGTGGCCACCGCAGAAACCCAGCCCCAAAGTCCGGAAGCAGAAACTCGGGGTTCTATGCCGGCACCTCTGGTGGCATTTAGGCTCCTTGTTTCTGCAGCCGCAGCCGCAGCGTCCCCATTCGTAGACGGGTCAGACTCCTGCCTGCCTGTTCTCGTAAATGAAGTGCAGGTCTGTCTCCTCTCCCCAGACGGTCTTTGATGGTTGGAGCTCTTCGTGTTTCACGGACTTCATTTCCCAGATGGTTAATCATCTTTCCATCTCTTCCTAGTGTTTTCTAGGCGCTGGCCAGTCTAGGCGCTGTTTATTTTTACCTTGCCTGCCCTTTGCCTTAAGCACACGTAACAAATACAGGTTAGCCCTGGCCTCCCACTTGTTAATAACAACTCTTTCTCGTACTGGAGTCTCTCCCCCTTATCTTTCTCTCCTACCTCAGACGTGGAAGCTAAGCTTTTATCAGGGGGAGCCCCCCCCCCAAAGCTCAGCCTGTTGCCCCTGGTGTCCAGGGCTTAGGGATGCAGTGATCTGGAAGGTATGTGGTCCCTGCTTGGCTTCCAATGAGTGGTGCAGTCTTGCTGGCCTGTTTTCCTCTGTGTGAGTGGAAATCTCAGACCCTGGATTTGTCTCACTGATGGAATCTTCTAGCTCTAGAACCTGACAGCCGTCGTATCATTTGTCTCTGACTAACTATCACTCAGCCTTTCCCCATCGTCTGTTTATGGTCTTCTCCCCTCACCACCACCATCTTTGCCTCCATCTGCCTCCAATTGTCCCAGATTCCTGTGTGAGGTCACTAGCTCCGTAAGTGCAAGGGAGTCTTCATGACTAAGCTTTTTCCCTGTCTTTTTCTCTTTATGAGCACTTTTTTTTTCTTGTCTGGAAAGCTATTCAGCTATAATTAAGTTCTAAAAGTTAGAGCTTTTAAGATGAAGTAAAATAGCATATTTGATTGTTATGCTAAAAGTTTGAACCCAGTTTGCTATTAAAATATAGAGATTGCAGGCTGGGAACGTAGCTCAGTGGGAGAGGACTTGCCCTAGCGTGACACCTTGGGTTCCAGTCTCAGAGGAGAGTGGAGGAAAGAAAGAAGAAAAAGAAAGTCACAAATTGTGGTTTTTAAACGCTTTCAAAATAAAAGGAGGGGAAAACTCCTTCATCCAGACACAAAGCATTTTAAAAAGAGTGGCCATATTACTAGCTGATAAAGTAAAATTTAAAAGTACTGAATGGGACAAAATTCTTCATGCACGTACACAAAAATACAGTTAAATCTGTTTGAAAGTCAAATCTGTATGCATCACACAACATAGCAACTGAACACATAAAGCAAAGCAGAAAAAAAAAAAAAAGTTAAAAATCCAAAATGCAAGCCGGGCATGGTGGCACACGCTTTTAATCCCAGCACTTGGGAGGCAGATGCAGGCAGATCTCTGCGAGTTCAAGGCCAGCCTGGTCTACATAGTGAGTTCCAGGACAGCTGGGGCTACAGGGAGACCCTGTCTCAAAAAGCCAAAAAAAAAAAAAAAAAAAAAATCCAAAATGCAGATCCTCCACTCACGCCTCCCCCACCACATAAAGCTCTCTGGTTATAAAAACGTAACGTGAAGCTTTCTATCTAACACCTAATGCGTTTTTAGTTCTTTTTAAAATACCTCCCTTAGGAACCCTTATCCTCATTTTGCAAAGGGGGAAACAAGGCTCAGTCACCCTGTGAGGGGAGAGCGGAGTGAGATGGTTCTGCCCTCGGTCCCTCCGCTGTCCTGTTTTGTTCCCTTTCGTTGCCCATACCTGTGCCGACGTGAACCAGGACACAGGTGAAGGCAGCCTTTGATGGATGCATCCCCACCAGGGCTTTGAGCCTTGGAAACCTCCGTGTTCATGTCAGGGCTTAGCACATAGTAATCAGTGTAAATGGGATAAATGAAGATGGTATAATTGTCAAAGCTAAAACCCTCTTCAAGGGGAAGGGAGGAAGGACAGAAAGGAGAGACGGGTAAAAGATGGGGGCGAGCAGCAAGCAGAAGGGAGGAAGTGCCTCCATCTCCAGGCTCGGCTGGCCTCGGTTTCTAGGTCACTCTGTATTCTGGGAAATGATGCTGTCTCTTGGAAAATGTCTGTTTAGCTAAGGGATTTATTTTGGGAGCGTGGACTCCAGACCTTCGAAGGGCCTCTGAGTGCCACAGATGCTGCTGTTCACAGAAGTGCCTGTCCTGGCAGCCGCTCCCTTTGTGGTGAGCTGTAGTCAGGAGCTTCTAGGCGTGGCTCAGATAGCAGAGCCAAGGTCAGGAGGCTAAAGCCTCCTCACCAGGAGTTACCCACGTGGACGGAGGGCCACTCTTTCTCTACCTGCCCTCCATTCCTTGATCTGACAAACTCAAGATGTGTGGGCATCAGGATCTTGGAGGTGGTCGCTGTTCAGACAGACCTCCCAGACCTCAGTGATTCTGACTCTCTGGGTCTGGGTGGAGCCGGTAACTTGAGTTCCAAAGATGTTTCCAGGTGGCACGGCTGCTGCTGGTTGTAGACTGCTTTTGAGGATCCCAGGATGGCCAAGGACAGTCCTTGAGAGTTTGGGTTCATGGTGATGGTGACGATGGGTTTGGTGGTCAGTGGCCTTTGTCTACTGCACTTCCTGGTCAGTCCTGGACCTCGCCTCGTGAGCTTAGCAGCTTTTCAGTCCTCATTGTTCCTGCCTGTGTGGAGCAGTGCTCGGGCACGGCTGTGCTGTCCTCCTTGAGCGACCGTGGGCAGGGTGTTTAGCCCCTGACCCTCACTCAGCCTGCTGTCTGCTGTTAACAATGACAGTCACCTCAGCGAAAGCCACGGGCTTAGCACAGGTCTACGTGGTATCGATCCAGCAAGTAGTGGGCATCGGCCATCCTGGGTCCCACAGCCACTGCATCTGGGGGTCAGCTCAGTTGCCAGCTTCTAGGCTCAGGGATGTTGTTGGGGAATATCCTGGCATCTGTGTTGAACCAGCGCAGGCAAAGAGTGGGCATCTCATATATGTAACACGGCAGATGCTCTGTAAGAGGGGAGGCAGAGGAAGGAGCGGGATAGAGTGAGAGGAGCAGAAATATTCTGCAGTTGAAGATGATGTGGGAGCTACACACCCTGCACGACGGTTTCACCCTTGTCACTGAGACTCAGTGTCCTGACCCTTCCCAGCCTCTGAGCCATGACGCCCACATATCTTGGCTTCTGGCTTCCTTCCCCTTCAAAACTAGCAGTGGCCAGGGGAGCTTCATGTGCTCTGACCCCCCTGCCTCCCTGTTACAGGACACTGTGATGACACTGAGCTGCCCGTGTCGTAAGCTATATAATCTCTTCCCTCAAGATGCTTAACTCAATCCCGTCTGCAAAACCCTTCTGTCATTTGTGGGTCTGGGGATTAGGCTGGAGCCGTCTCTGGGGACCATTGTCCTGCTGACCGCAGAAGCAGGCTCCTCCCTAACTCTGGCTACAGCTGATGTCTCCAATCCTCAGGTGACCTTGGTGAAGCTCTCGGACCTGCGCGTCCAGCTTGCTGGCCTGGGAAGTGGGCATCACGCTTGCCACCTGGTTTAGATCAAATGACATCATAGGCCACAGCCAGGGTTGCGATTCGCTCAGGGCCAGTGTGTGCTCACTCTGGGAAGAAGACAGGTCTCCCTGGGCAGATCAGCCGAGCCCTTCCAGGAGGTGGCGAAAATGCTGTGGCGACTCCTCCGGTGCCACTGAGCAGGGCGGTGGGAGGGTTAGCGTACCTGGACATCACCTTCAGGGACAGACTCTACAGCTGGTCCCGTGGTGTAGCAAAGATGAAGACCACTGTCTGGGGTGCGGCTGGGGGCGCAGAGCACCTGACTGGTCTACACAAGGCTCTGGGTCCCATCTCCAGCACTGCTAAAAAGATTAAGGTGGAGGCCATGATCCAAACCATGAGGCTGACACAGCCCAACGAAAAAGCCTTAGACACGGCCAGAGAGGTGACTGTAGCTCAGCCTGCAGTGGGCATCAGAGCCCTAGTCCTCAGCTGGACCACCCTGAACACGTGCCCCTGACACACTGCAGCTTTGGGAAATGTGGATGATGCATCCTGAGCCATCGTCTAAGATCCTGATGAGACCGTGAACACAGGGCCTTTGTACCCAGGGCCACCTGGGTCTAGAAAGCAGCACATCCCACCCTAGCCTGAGCCCCAGTGTTCACCTGGCACCTGAGAGTGACTGCCTGTCCACTTGTATCCCAGCTCCACCTCAGCCTGCTTTCTCCTCATGGCGTGTGACATCCTCACTCTTACCCCAGGGCCTTTGCACAGTCTGCTTCCTCTGCCTTTAGCACTCCATTTATAGATACTGCTGTGGCTGTGACTGGTACCTTTCTGTGTCTGGGCTTCCTAGGCCACTGCTCTAAAACAGCCCCCTCCAGCCGGTCCCCATCTCATGACCTGGCTTATTTCCTTCATAGACTTTGTTTACCTGCCTCCCTCCATTCCACAAAGGCAGGGCTTTCATCTGGTGCCTGCTTAGTCCCCCAGTGGCTGGCACATTGTGGGTGCTCAGAGAGTTATTTGTGGAACAAACAGATGATGCTGAGTTTCCAGGAGGTACTCGGAAGTCGGGGTGAAGCAGGCTATGTCCTGGGGTCGGTATGGTAGATGGCACCAGGATCCTGGGTTCCCAGCACTGAGCACAGCCTCCTGTCCTTGCAGAGTTCCAGCATCTGTAAGTCAGCCGTGCACGCAGGCGCCATCGGAGACGAGAGCGGTGGCCACGTGGACGTGATGCCTGTAGGCAAAAAGGACAGCTACGTGGGCTCTCTCAGGAACGGGGTGCAGTCAGAGAGGTAAGGCGGCTTCTGGACCGGCAGTTGGTTACGTTTTAAAGCACAGCTGGCTCATCAGTCTTCACCAAAGTGTGTATTTCCGATGCATGTTTCTGTGGAAAGTGTTCAACCTATAGAAATAGCAGATAAACCAAAGAAAAATGTCCATCCGTTACCTCGACCTGGGAAACTGCTGTGTATTTTTGATGTGAAACTTTCTAGTTCTTTCTGTGTGTGTGTGTGTGTATGAGTGTTCTTGTAGACATGTGCATGCACTATCCGTGTGTGTAGGTACATTTATTACATAAACAAAAGGGACCAAGGTCTGGTTCCCTAATGGCTTTCAAAGCGGCACATAAAAGCAAAGGCCGTGGCTGGGGAGATGGCTCAGTGGTTAAGAACACTGGTTCTTCTTGCAGAAGACCCGGGTTCGAATCCCAGCACCCACATGGCAGCTAACAACTGTCAGGAAGTCCAGTCCCGGGGGATCCAACAGTCTCTTCTGACTTCCACGGGCACTGCATGACACGGGTACACTTACCTACATGCAGGCAACACATGCATACACATAAAATATTTTTTAAAAAAAGCAAAGCCCATGCATGGACTTTCATAACCTCGGGCAGCATCTTACCCCAGGGCCGACACCTGCCAATGCTTTGGGTCAGCCTTGTCGCCTTGGTTGGGCAGCTGTCTCTCTGAGCCTGTTCTGTGTCTCTGAAATGAGCAAAACAGGACCAGGCAATTGTGATGCCTGCTCAAGGGTTTGAGCTGCCAAGCCGCCTCCCTCCAGTCATGTCCAGTAGATCCCTCAGCATTGAGCTGATGGCAGGAGTCACGGAGAGAGGGCCTAGGGTGACATTTGGGAAGGAGGGGTCATGCTGACAGCTCTGGATTGTCTCTTATGCCGTCACAGGGTCGCCCATAGATAGTGTCCCTGCTGCATTGGTGCCCAGAGCGTGGCACTGTGTCAGGTGGATGGGGCATAGGGCACTTTGCTGTGGGAGGTCTAGGGCTGTTCCCAGCCAGGAGACTGAGCCACCATGACACAGCACTCTTCCAACTCAACTGTTTCCCCAGATCCCCAGCTGGGATGTGGGATCAAGCCTGAGCTGACTTCTGAGGCCTTTCCAGAATGCTCTCCAGGAGGCCCCAGCCTGGGCTGCTGCTCAGTTTTCTGTTCTTACAGACTCCTGTCTATGAAAGCGGGTTGCAAAGCCCTCCACTCCCTGTCTGGGGTTTCCTCCTGAGAGCACATGCCCGCCCTGCCCTCTAGTCTTCGAGTGTTGGCTAGAACTGTCAGCAGACCTCCAGGGGCAGGTAGAATTGGAGGCCTGGTGTCAGACCACTCTGGCTGGTTGCTGAGTCATGATCTGAGGTGGGGGTGTGGACAGGCCCTGAGTCCTGTGAGACTGTGGATAGTGGCCTTCTTGGGTTTTCCATGTTCCAGTCTATCTCCCTCTGAGGCCATCATTGCGTATCACCTTGGGGAGCTGTCTTGTCAATCTTGTAAGTTTCAGGAGCCTTGTGAGCCTTGTGAGTTTCCTGAGTTTCTTAAGTATCTTTGGAACTTTCAGGAGGCAGCAATGGTTGCGGGCAGAGTGACTCCCAGTAAGCAGGTGATGGAATCCAGTGGCCCTGGTTGCCAAGATGCAGCTTCTGGTCTAGTCTAAACCTTGGGTGCTGCAGTTCTGTTCACAGGTCACAGGACTCATGCAGAGGAAAAGCCCATGTGAGTTCATGCTCCAACAAGAAGCCCTTACATACACACACTCCCTCCTCCAAGCATTGGCCCTTCAGCCCCAACTCACCATGCGCCTCCCCATGTTGGGAACCCTCACATGCCCAGGCACAGGATCCAGCAGGGAGTGTGACAGCTGGACTCTGTCCTGTGGTGCAGGCCTGGCCATCTGGTGGGGACAGACTCAGTGGCTCAGTGGAAGGGCAGGTCACTGCCATGGGGGGATGGCCCAGGGTGACTGATGAGGCTCCAGCAGAGGCCTCTATGGGGACACATCGGGCACATGTGGCACTGCCCCGGCCTCTCCTTGTGTAGACAGGACTTTAGCCACCTTGTTTTATGAAGTGACTCGGCCGAGAGGTCTCCTTAGAGCTGGCCCAAGTGAGCTGAGGGTGACTGATGAGGCTCCAGCAGAGGCCTCTATGGGGACACATCGGGCACGTGTGGTACTGCCCCGGCCTCTCCTTGTGTAGACGTTGAGAACCAGTTTTGGAGCCAGAGGGCAGCTCTGTCCCCAGTGTCTGCTGAGACAATGGGGGTGGGTCTCAGTGCCAAGGGAGATTAGGGTACAGGACATCCCGTGGCCAGTGCTTGCCAAACAGAATTTTAACTTTGGTCTTTTGAGACAGAGTCTTATGTAGCCCAGACTTGCCTTGAACTTACTATGTAGCTGAGGCGGTCTTCCAACTTATTGTGTAGCTGAGGATGATCTTGAACTCCTGATCTTCCTACCTCCACCTCCCGAGTGTTGAAATGACAGGCTTACACTACCTAGCTTGGTGAATGGTACTTTAAGTTTAAAGATTCCTTCCATCAAAGTCTCCAGGCACCAGAAACACTTGGGCTCCGCCCATGGTGGCTGACACACAGAGCGGTTTCACAATGTGCATTTGGAGAAGAGGTTCCTGGAAGTTGAGAAAGGCAGGTGTGTAGAAGGGGACCCTCAAGAACAGTCTGTTCTCACCCTCTACACCACACCCTAAGGAGTAGAGACAAGGGGTGTCAGCAGACCTGGAGATCTAGCTGGCTCATCAGTGCCGAGAGAGGGGGAGGGAGAGAGAGAGAGAGAGAGAGAGACAGAGAGACAGAGAGACAGAGAGAGAGACAGAGACAGAGAGACAGAGACAGAGACAGACAGAGAGACATACAGAGAGAGAGACAGAGACACAGAGAGAGACAGACACAGAGAGAGAGACAGAAAGGGAGAGAGAGAGACAGAGAGAGACACACAGAGAGAGACAGAGATAGAGAGAGACACAGAGAGAGAGACAGAAAGGGAGAGACAGAGAGACAGAGACAGAGAGACAGAGAGAGACACAGAGAGAGACAGACAGAGACACAGAGAGACAGAGAGAGACAGAGACAGAGACCAGATGCCTGTCAGTCTGGGGCTCTCAGACCGCAGTGACTTTTAAAGACATGTTTCACAAAGAGATTGGGAAACGTGCTGTCGATAACATCATTCTTGGCCACTTGTCATCAACAGCAGAACTGATTTGCAGGGGTGAATTGAGGTGGACTTTTGCCAAGCTGGGGTGTTGTGCGGTGAACATTGTGAGCAGCCCTCCATGCTGGGCACTGAGCTGGGGGCTGAGGGCACAGCAGGGGCAGAGGAGATGAAAGTCCTCATCCTCAAAGGGCCAACAGGCATACACATGAGCCAAAGAACTGAAGGGAGATGTTAGTGTGTATTTGATTTAATACAATCAACATAGTTTATAGTATTATTGTTTCAATATGAAATCTGTAGAAAAATTCATAAGAAGAAACTTGCATTTTCTCCCCATCTGGTCTGTGTGTTGCACATGTCTGTTCCAATGTGCTTTGTTTCGAGGGCCTGGTTGGTCACTGTGGCTGGTGACTGATGCTTATGGACAGTCTGGCTCAGGGGATCTCAGGGTTGGGTGGCTAAGGATTGCTGGCTGCTCCCAGAGAGAAGAGGAGGCACTGAGCTGTTATCCCCAGGACTGGGAGGGTTTGCAGTGACTCCAGGCCAGGCTAGACCAGGGCAGGGATGTTCTGGTGAGTCCTTCTGCCTGGCAGCAGCAAGCGGGCTCCCTCCCCCACCTCGCCCCAGTCCTTTGAATCAGCTTGTCTGACTTCCTCAGTACAGACAAGCCCTTGAGTTTCGGCACAAATCTTCCCAGTACAGAGCCAGAGAAAGTCTTCAATGCCAAGTCACTCATTAATTTCTTTCTTTAAAAATATTAATTCTGGGGCTAGAGACATGGCTCAGTGGTTAAGAACACTGGTTGTTCTTACAGAAGACCCAGGTTCGAATCCCAGCACCCACATGGCAGCTAACAACTGTCTGTAATTCCAGTTCCAGGGGATCCAACAGTGTCTTCTGTCCTCCACAGGCATTGCATGACATGGGTGCACTTACCTACATGCAGGCAATACACGCATACACATAAAATAAAAATAATAAATCAAATATTTTAAAGATATTAATTATATGGCATGTGGTGACACACTTGTAACCACAGCATTTGGAAGCTAGATCAAGAGAATGCCTTGTCTCAAAAAGTAAAATAAAATAAATAAAATAAAAACAAAGGTCTGGAGAGGTAGTCCGGTAGGTAAAGTGCTTGCCTAGGATGCATTGGGTCCCGTCCCTAATACAAACTGGGCTTGGTGGTGCACACCTGTAATCCCAGCACTTGGGAAATTGATGCAGGAGGATGAGAAGTTCATGGCCAGTCTGGGCTACATGAGATCCTGTCTCCAAAATAAAACAAACAAAAACACCAAACCCAAATAACAAAAGACCAAAATTATATATGTATACATAATAAATGTGCTAATAATTTATATAATATAGGTAGAAGACAGGATCTAAGAGCCCCCACAGGGGCTGGCTAACCTCTGCTAAGAGCCTCCACAGGTGCTGGGCTAACCTCTGCTAATTGTCCATGTCTAGATTTGGAGCCCGTTTTTTCCCTGTGCCTGAGTAACTCACAGCAATGTGGATGTTGTATCTTACACTTTGTCCCTAAGCTGTTTCTCCGTAAAACTGCTATGCATTTGGTAATCTAAACTGAGGAAGGCTGTTTCCTGGGGCCTATGAGGGTGTCTTGTCACCAGCTGCTGCACACACCTGACTTTGAGTCAGGGCACAGTGTAAACCTGGCAGGTCAGGATGCTCATGGCTCGGGTATTGAGCTGCAGCTCAGGTTGTCCTTGCCGAGAGCTGGATGCTTATAATGCCCCTAAGGAGTGGGCGTGTTCACAAACCCAGATTTACACCGGTGGAAACTGAGTCTCATTTTGCCTTGGA